AACATGGCCTCCCGTGCCAGGGCTGGGGTGGGCAGGGCTGTCAGGGCAGGCCTGGACTTGCTGGGTGAGCCAGGAGGGAACCTCGCCCCATGGCAGGGGCAGGCTGGCCAGGTGCCAGGCCGGCCTCAGAGGCCACAAGAGACACCACCTGGGAGGACCGTGCTGGTGCTGGGGCATCCCAGCAAGGGCCTTACCTGTGTCAACTCCCCTAATCCCAACCCCGCCCCAGCCCCAGCCATCCAGTCAGCAGCCACCTGGCTTCCCGCGTCAGCTGGCCCTGACCCTCCCTGCGAGCCCCTCCCATCCTCCCCTGTATGCTCCAAATCCGTCCCTACTCCTCGAGGAGTACCTACTGGAGGCTCAGGCAGCCCTTGCCCTCTCAGGGCCTCAGTTTCCCCAGAAGTTCCGGAAGCAGGAGGCAGAGGCTCCCTGCAGGCTGCATGGGTGCTGCTGCCTCAGCTTCAGCCTCAGTCAAAGAGCTGGGTCCTGGGTGGCTGCCGCTTTCCCATCCATAAAATGGGTGAGTCCTACTCGAGCCATGCCCCAGCCAGCTTCCCAGCCCCAAATGATAGGGCTGAGGGCTTTGATGTCCCAGATGAAAGGCCACCCCAGCTCCCAGGCTGGCCCCAGGACAGTGGACTCAACGGCCGGTAAAGCAGGCACCACCCTCCAAGAGCCAGGCCTGACTGTGGGAAATGGGCCCTGTCTGGCCTACGCAAAGACCACCATCCCCGAGGCCCCAGCCAGGCCAGCCCAGCCGGCAGGGAGGACCAGGGTCCACGGCAGCTCCCCAGCAAGAAGCAGGCTCTGGACCCCTCTGACTCCTCTAATGACAGAGGGACCAGGAGGGGGCAGGTGTGAGTTCTAGAAAGACAAGGACCCCACCCAGACAAGCCCCAGCACCCCCCCATCCCCTGCAGGTAAGCAAATGCAGGGCAAGACAGGAGTAAGGGCTCAGCACCCCTACGGCAGCTCCCCTGGTCCCTGAGAATGGGGTACTCTGGCCCACCCATCCCCACTCAGACCCCAGCACTCTCCTGGTTCCCACTGACAGAGTGCCTGGCCAGTGCCTCTGTGCAGAAGGTCAGAGATCACAGCCAACTGGACTGGGTTCACAAGACACAGAGCAGGCGGGTTTCTCTGAGTCTCTCAAGGCGATCGCCCCTACCCACCCAAGGTCCACCACACCCACCCCGCCACCCTTGCCTAGTTCCCCAAACCCAGCACAGAGCCGGCATGCGTGGCCCTCGGCTGGGTAGGAACAACCCTGCCCTCCACATTAGTCTAGAGTTCCTGCTCGGACGATCCCACAGGCCACCTGCAACGGGCACTGGGGGCCTGGGTGTGACGACCCTGTGGCCTGACCTGGGGGCCATGTGGCCACATGAAGGACTAGGCCCGTGGGACCCAGCGCAGGGCTGGCAGGAGGCTTTCTGCAGACGGCTGAGCGGTCCTGGACCTGCTTCCACCACAGCCGGAGCCCTCTTTAAGGGGATGCAGTCATTCATTTGTTCATTCATTTCTTCAACAGCTGGTGTTCGCCAGGCCTGCTGGGCCTAGCCCTGTGCCCAGGGTCGGGGAAGGTGATGACAGACCCATCACAGCCAGGAGACAGGCAGAGTCCACACAAGGTGTGACGTGCCACGGCAAACGCCCGGGCAGCCACCAAGGAGGGTCCTGACGATCTCCTGCCTGAAGCCAGGGAAGGGCACCTAACCAAGCCGGCTCGGGGGTGGAGGGAGTCCCCGACGGAGGGAGGGGCTACACAGCCTGCGCTGGGCAGGGGATCACAGCATGGGGGGCGGTGGGGGGCTCGTGGCCAGGACCTCGGGTTGAGCATGGAGTGGGGCAGCTGGAGGCCAGTACAAAGCCACAGGTAAAAGCAGGGGCCCAGATGCAACCTTCACAGGCCAGGCAGGTGGGAGGTGGCATGGGGACAGGGTAACCAACTAGCCTAAGGAAGCTACTCGTTCAGCTGGGTGAGAAGCAGACAGGACCCGCACGGGCCAGGAGACAGCCACAGCAAGCAGACAGACAGGACCCGCACAGGCCAGGAGACAGCCGCAGCAGACAGACAGGACCACACGGGCCAGGAGACAGCCGCAGCAGACAGACAGACAGGACCCGCACGGGCCAGGAGACAGCCGCAGCAGACAGACAGACAGGACCACACGGGCCAGGAGACAGCCGCAGCAGACAGACAGACAGGACCACACGGGCCAGGAGACAGCCGCAGCAAGCAGACAGACAGGACCACACGGGCCAGGAGACAGCCGCAGCAAGCAGACAGACAGGACCCGCACGGGCCAGGAGACAGCCGCAGCAAGCAGACAGACAGGACCCGCACGGGCCAGGAGACAGCCGCAGCAAGCAGACAGACAGGACCCGCACGGGCCAGGAGACAGCCGCAGCAAGCAGACAGACAGGACCCGCACGGGCCAGGAGACAGCCGCAGCAGACAGACAGGACCACACGGGCCAGGAGACAGCCGCAGCAGACAGACAGACAGGACCACACGGGCCAGGAGACAGCCGCAGCAGACAGACAGACAGGACCACACGGGCCAGGAGACAGCCGCAGCAGACAGACAGACAGGACCACACGGGCCAGGAGACAGCCGCAGCAGACAGACAGACAGGACCACACGGGCCAGGAGACAGCCGCAGCAGACAGACAGACAGGACCACACGGGCCAGGAGACAGCCACAGCAGACAGACAGACAGGACCACACGGGCCAGGAGACAGCCGCAGCAGACAGACAGACAGGACCACACGGGCCAGGAGACAGCCGCAGCAGACAGACAGACAGGACCACACGGGCCAGGAGACAGCCGCAGCAGACAGACAGACAGGACCACACGGGCCAGGAGACAGCCGCAGCAGACAGACAGACAGGACCACACGGGCCAGGAGACAGCCGCAGCAGACAGACAGACAGGACCCGCACGGGCCAGGAGACAGCCGCAGCAAGCAGACAGACAGGACCCGCACGGGCCAGGAGACAGCCGCAGCAAGCAGACAGACAGGACCCGCACGGGCCAGGAGACAGCCGCAGCAGACAGACAGACAGGACCACACGGGCCAGGAGACAGCCGCAGCAGACAGACAGGACCACACGGGCCAGGAGACAGCCGCAGCAAGCAGACAGACAGGACCCGCACGGGCCAGGAGACAGCCACAGCAAGCAGACAGACAGGACCCGCACGGGCCAGGAGACAGCCGCAGCAAGCAGACAGACAGGACCCGCACGGGCCAGGAGACAGCCGCAGCAAGCAGACAGACAGGACCACACGGGCCAGGAGACAGCCGCAGCAGACAGACAGACAGGACCACACGGGCCAGGAGACAGCCGCAGCAGACAGACAGGACCACACGGGCCAGGAGACAGCCGCAGCAAGCAGACAGACAGGACCACACGGGCCAGGAGACAGCCGCAGCAGACAGACAGACAGGACCCGCACGGGCCAGGAGACAGCCGCAGCAGACAGACAGACAGGACCCGCACGGGCCAGGAGATAGCCGCAGCAGACAGACAGGACCACACGGGCCAGGAGACAGCCGCAGCAAGCAGACAGACAGGACCCGCATGGGCCAGGAGACATCTGCAGCAAGCAGACAGACAGGACCACACGGGCCAGGAGACAGCCGCAGCAAGCAGACAGACAGGACCCGCATGGGCCAGGAGACATCTGCAGCAAGCAGACAGACAGGACCCGCACGGGCCAGGAGACAGCCGCAGCAGACAGACAGACAGGACCACACGGGCCAGGAGACAGCCGCAGCAGACAGACAGACAGGACCCGCACGGGCCAGGAGACAGCCGCAGCAGACAGACAGGACCACACGGGCCAGGAGACAGCCGCAGCAAGCAGACAGACAGGACCCGCACGGGCCAGGAGACAGCCATGGCAAGCAGACAGACAGGACCCATACAGGCCAGGAGACAGCCGCAGCAGACAGACAGACAGGACCACACGGGCCAGGAGACAGCCGCAGCAAGCAGACAGACAGGACCCGCACGGGCCAGGAGACAGCCGCAGCAGACAGACAGGACCCGCACGGGCCAGGAGACAGCCACAGCAAGCAGACAGACAGGACCCGCACGGGCCAGGAGACAGCCATGGCAAGCAGACAGGACCCATACAGGCCAGGAGACAGCCGCAGCAGACAGACAGGACCCGCACGGGCCAGGAGACAGCCACAGCAAGCAGACAGACAGACAGAACCCATACAGGCCAGGAGACAGCCACAGCAAGCAGACAGACAGGACCCACATGGGCCAGGAGACAGCCACAGCAGACAGACAGGACCCACACGGGCCAGGAGACAGCGCAGCAACAGCCAAGGCGGCCCCAGAGGCCACACGTGTGGGCCAGGGAGTTTGAAAACTCAGAGAGCTCAAGGAGCCGGGGATCCCCCAAAGGGTCTGGGGCTGCTGGCCACAGGAAAGCCCAGCTAACTGGGGCCAAGAGAGAGCCAGGCCTGAATCCTCCAGGGAAGCACCTCCATCCAGGCTGCCCCAGGAGGGGGCTCCTGTGGCTTGGGGGGCCCTGAGCCCACGAGCAAAGGCAGGCAGGGGGCAGAGGATGGCAGTAAGACTCTGGGAGAAAAGTGTTGCTATCAATTCTCCCTGACTTCCTCACATAGCATAACCTAGTGGGAAGCGTGCCAGGAGCCCCTCCAACAAGGCTGTTTCCTGCCAGCTCAGCCCCCATGCCTGGCTCCCTGACCCAGCCTCAGGACCCAAAGATCTGGGCAGTCAGAGATGAAGCACAGGCTTGAATCCCAGCCCTGTCACATGCCATCCTCTCTGAAGGGCCCTCGTGGTGCCATGGGCCCCACAGGGGCTGCAGGGCAGTCCCTGGCACAGCCCCCAAAGCCCTGGGACCCTGTGGATGCATCCCTCCCACGCTCACTGTCCTTCAGTGCAGGGACCCTCAGGGGGACACACCAGGGTATGAGGGGTCTGCGGACACCCGGTGAACTCAGCAGCCGTGTGAACCATCGATGCATCTTTAATTCACAAATAGAAGCTGTAGCAAGATGTCATCTACACATTTGTACAAAGGTTCAGACGTCCTGTATGAGGCAGGACCGACCCTCAGAAAACATGAGCCTGTCATGTGGGGAACGTCGCCAACACTCACCCCTCATCTGCATTTGGCAAGAAGCACCTCCCAAGACCCCCCACCCTGCCCAGGGTGCCCCTGAGGCAGCCGGCCTCCTGCAGCTGGAGAGAGCCCGGTCCCCAGGACACCTTCCATAGAAAACCATAAAAACATAGATCATTTGTCTTCAAATTCCCACGGCAAATTCCGCATTTATGGGCAAAATGATACAAAAATATGAACGTAACAGAACCTTTACAAAACCCTTATCCCCCATGTCTGTCGTTGATCGTGGCGGTCTGTTTTGTTTTTTTGCTTGTGGTTTTGGTAAAAATTCCTGCCGTGGAAGAGGCCACTTGTGCCTGTGGCTCAGCCCTTGTTAGCTGCTCTCGGGACAGAGTAGGTTCCCGGGAAGGGAGAAGACCTAAGGGTCAGCTGTCCCTGCCCAGGAGACCCCGGGATGGATCCGTGCTGGGAACCCCACACAGATCCCCACAGCCCGGGCTCTGCCGAGGAAACCTTTGTAAAAGAAGAGTCATCCTGAACCCTGAAAGGCTCCGGGGCACGCAGGTAAGTCCCGCTCCACGAAACCGCTTGGCTGCAAAGAAGGCAAGACGGACGCAAACACAACCCTGCCAGCCCCGGCCCAGAAAGACGCAGCGGGGCCGGGCTGCGCACAACTGCTGGTGTCATGAGTCTGTAGCACCAAATGCAAAAGGGAGAAACGTCCAAATCAAGGTCAAAGGCACTTGCGTTGCTGTTGGGTGGTGATGGCCTTCTGGTCCCTCTGGCACCCTCACTCTTTCCGCCACGTGGCCGCCCTCACTCCGCCACACCCCGTCTCCGCTCCAGGACCCGTCCTGCACAGAAACCGCTCTGCACCCTCCTCCCACAGCCCCCACCACATCCTCGCTCTGTCCCACGTCCTGTCCTCCGGCCCCTGCATGTCCCGGCCTCCTGACCGGTGCCTAGCCTCAGACGTCCACCTCCTGCGGCCCCGGGACGGCAGCCGCAGCCGCAACACTGATGTCGAAGCAGGTGACCATCATGACATGCGCCTTGCACAGGTTCACGCACTGCTCCAGGGCAGCCGTGGCGCGCTCCAGGGCCGCCAGGTACTCAGCCGACTCAGGCTCCAGCTCTGGGTCCACCTCGACTGGGGAGGGGATGGAAGAGGAGGGCACCTGGGTCAGGCCCGAGGCTGGGGACAGCCACCTGTCCCCCTTGAAGCTCCAGGAAAGGCATCTTGGCCCGGCCAACCCTGCCTCTTAGCCTTCCCACCACGAGGTACAATGGGGCTCAGGGAGGGGAGGGCAGGCTTCAGGGCACACAGTGGGCCAGGGAGCCACGGCAGGCTGGGTCTGCAGGCGGGCGGGACTCACACTGCGCCAGCCAGCGGCCAGGCTCCAACATCAGCCGGCCCTGGGTCTCAGCCAGCTCCTCACACAGGTGTTTGTGCTTGGCCTGCACCTCCCGCAACCGTTGCTGCCTGCGCTCTGCCAGCCGCAGCCTTGTGCTGACGCATGCCAGACCCTGAGAGACGGGGCGGGTGGGGGGCTCAGGCACGGGACCCTCTCCCCAGGGACCCCCAGCAGCCTTGTGCTGACGCAGGCCAGACCCTGAGAGGCGGGGCGGGTGGGGGGCTCAGGCACGGGACCCTCTCCCCAGGGACCCCCAGCAGCCTTGTGCTGACGCAGGCCAGACCCTGAGAGACGGGGCGGGTGGGGGGCTCAGGCACGGGACCCTTTCCCCAGGGACCCCCAGCAGCCTTGTGCTGACGCATGCCAGACCCTGAGAGGCGGGCTGGGTGGGGGGCTCAGGCACGGGACCCTCTCCCCAGGGACCCCCAGCAGCCTTGTGCTGATGCAGGCCAGACCCTGAGAGGCGGGCTGGGTGGGGGGCTCAGGCACAGGACCCTTTCCCCAGGGACCCCCAGCAGCCTTGTGCTGATGCAGGCCAGACCCTGAGAGACGGGGCGGGTGGGGGGTTCAGGCACGGGACCCTTTCCCCAGGGAGCCCCAGCAGCCTTGTGCTGATGCAGACCAGACCCTGAGAGACGGGGCGGGTGGGGGGCTCAGGCACGGGACCCTTTCCCCAGGGAGCCCCAGCAGCCTTGTGCTGATGCACGCCAGACCCTGGGAAGTGGGCCAGGTGGGGGAGCTCAGGCATGGGACCCTCTCCTCAGAAGCCCCAGCAGCCCTGCTGTGACCCTCTGCCTCCCTTCACCCACCAGGCCTCAGCAGGCACAAAGTGGGGGCGCCAAGGCCGGGCAGGGGACGAACCTGGGGCAGCCCACCCACACCTGTCTGGGTCCTGGCATGGCTCTAGGACCACCCTTCCCACGACTGGGGAGAATTCCAGCGGACGGCAGCAGTGGCCTCAGGACACCCAGCCACCCACCCACCCACCCGCTGCCCAAAGGAAGTGTTGGGTTTGCCACAGGCTTGGGCTGGGCAGAGCCACTCCTACCTTGCCATCCTGGGAAGGCTGTGGACAGAAAATGAAGTCAAGGGCTGCCTGGCTGCACCCCCAGAGGTCTGACGAGCCCACCAGATGGCCCTGGCCAGGCCTCCCCACCAGGGCTCACAGACCTCAGCCCACCTCAAGCCCTACCTGGGTGGGGGCCTCCCTCGGGGTGGGGCGGGGCCGCTGCAGGCGCTCCACGTCATCAATCTCGTATACCTTGATCTCGAATGGCTCCTTCAGGGAGCCAGCCAGCAGCGGAGGCAGGTCCACCCACTGCCCGGGGAGGGTGGGCTTGCGGCCCAGGGCAGCGGCGTCAGGCAGTGGGGCGGGAATGAGGCGCCGCCGCTGCAGACCTGGAATGCAGGGCCAGGCACGGGTGAGCAGTCTCTGCAGGGGCTGAGGAGCCAGCTGGAGTCCTGACCTCGAGAGCTCAGGGGTCCAGTCCAGGAATCCTCAGCCCGGCGCTCTGCCCAGGGCAGGGAGGGAGCTGACCCCAAGCCAGGCCCACAGCTCTCAAGGGCACCCCCACCCCCACGAGGGCCTCCCACTCTTCCTGCTGTGACCTGAGCAGTTCTGTCCCTTGGGGCAGCCCTGGTGGGGGCCTTCCAAACATCTGGACACTCACCAGGGAGGCACCAGGCCCAGGACCCAACCCCAAGTCCAGTGCCCCAGCCTGGCGTCCCCGTGTTCACCCTGACACAGACCAGGAGCAGCCCCTGGAGCAGGGGCCACAGAAGGGCAAGTGCAGGGTGTTTATAAAATAGAGGGCTGTGCCGTGCCATCCACACACGCAAGCCTCAGGCGAGTCTGTCAACAGCCCAGGCCTGTGTGCATCTGAGTCCTTGAAGGCCATGCCCACGTGTCCACATCTCCCCGCTCCATAGACTGTAGAGGGCTGTGCGCCTCTGCACCCACCTGTGGCCCTCTTCTTGGGGGACTTGAGGCTGCGGGTGCGGGCGCCCGGGGAGGCAGCCCCACTGTCACTCATGGAGTCTGGGGCAGAGGATGCGCTGCCGGTGGCCTCACTGTCACGCCGCAGGCTCTCGTAGCCGCTGCTGCCGCCGCTGTGGTGGAAAAGGGCGGTGCGGCCCATGGCGGGGGGCAGCTCCCCACTCAGCACGCTGCTATTGTCGCTGCCATGGCCACTGCTGTAGCGCTGGGGCCGCCGAGGGGCGGTCACCTTGCTGTAGGGGGAGGGTAGGGCCGGGCCTGCAGGAGGCCGCTCCTCCCCCACGTTCACGCCGCTGTCGTGGCCGCTGTCTGAGTCTGTCGAGCCCCACGAGGGGCCGCCTCGGCCCGGGGCCCCGCTGGCTGACAGCTCATGGACACGGCTGTGAGCGGCCCGGAGCGCCTGCTTGGTGCCCATGATGGTGCCCCGGCCGGCCTTGGCCCCGATGCTGGGCCCGGCACGTGAGGCTGCTCTGGGACCGGCCATGGGGGTGCCGGGGCTCCTGCCTGCCACAGAGGCCACTGACGGCTTCACTGAAGGCCCCAGAGCCCGAGACCCACCAGCCACCAGGCTACGGCCCTTGCCCCCACCAGCAGGGGGTTTGGGGGCCCCTGCAGCCTTGGCCACACTGCTCCTACAGGTAGGAGCTGGACCGTGCGTGGGGCTGGAGGGTGGCACACCAAGCTTGGGTACGGCACGGGGAGGCCGCCCAGGGACCTCCCTGCCCTTGCTGCTGCTGCTGTGTGCCAGGCCTTCGTACCGCTCCAGAGACGCGTGGCCGGCGGGACGGTGCGCTGTGTCTACCTTGCTGGCCCGAGCCTTCAGGCTGGACGTGGCCCTGAAGACAGCATGGTCAGCCCGGCCACTGGGCCTGGACTCCTCCTCCCCGCGAAGGATGGCAGCAGCTCCGGCTCGCACCAGGTTCACGGTGTGGTGAGGGACCGAGGCTGGGCTGCTCCTGGGTTCCAGGCTGGACTTTCGAGTGGGAGGGGCTGGGGGGGCCGCGCCGCTGGGCCTCGGGAGGAAGCCCGCCTTGGGAGCCACACTCTTCTTGCTGGTGGGGGAGGCCTTTGGGCTGCCGGAGCAGGCCCCCACCTCTGCCAGAGCGTCCCCACAGGACACAGCTGGTGTCACACCCAGCGTGGTGGCACCCCTCTGCAGTGGTGGGATCCGAGCCACAGCCTCTGGCCTGCAGGCGGCCCTGGCTGCCACCTCACACCCGTCCACCACCCTCTGGGCACAGGCTAGCATGGCCTGGGCCTCAGACAGCCGGGAGGAGCCTGGGGTGGGGCTGGGGTCCCTGCTGACAGAAGCTGCCTGGGCATCGCACTCTCCCACCCGGAGCAGCCACGGGTCCTCGAAGAGGCCCCCACGGCCAGGTGGGCTCTGGCCCAGGCGAGTGCAACCGACGCGGCTGGCAGCAAAGGCAGACCTTGGTTTCCGAGGAAGGCTGGAGTGGATGGTCTGTGCTGTGGACGCCCCCCAGGAGGGTCCGGCCTGGGGCTCCCTGCCGGGTTGGGATGGGGCCACCGCTTCCACTTCCTCAGGACGTGGACCCCAGGCTGGTCTGGGACTGTCAGGCCTGTCCAGCTCCAAGAACCCGGAGCTGCTGTCCCCCAAGGAACCACCCAGGGCAGGGGGGCCCCCAGGGTCCGGCCCTGCCAGCAAGTCAGGGCTGAAGGGGGGCTGTGGTGTGGGGCCACGGCTGTCAGCAGTGCAGACGCTGACCTCACTGAGCCAGGAGCTGATGGAGGAGCCGTGACTGCTGCCGGCACAGGCCGTCCCCTCCAGGGGTCCCCCGTCAGGGGCCTGCGAGGTGTAGGCGTCGAACTCATCGTTGATGCTGCTGATGATGCTGACTGGCCGGGACCCCGAGGCCAGGGCCTGTAGGGAGCAGTCACTGCCGAAGCTAGCCAGGCTAGAGGGTCGCCCCGCTCCAGAGAGGCCCCCCAGGGACAGCTCTTCCACCACCGTGAACACCAGCTCATCCTCGCCGTTCAGCTCCACGGGCCGCTGCAGGGTCACCGTTGTGGTAAGCAGGCCCTGCTCTGGATGGTGACTACTGGCAGCCAGGCGGGGGCAGGGGGACCCAGGAGGCATCGGGGACCTGGCCTCCTGCCCACTCATGCCCACAGGAGGGGTCCGTGCCACCCCATCAGCACCTCCTCCCCCAGGCTCCTCTGGGGCTCTACAGGCTTCCAGCAGCTGCGGGGGTGGGGGGGCTGGGCTGGGCAGTGGCCTCCTGCCTCCGCCCACTGTGGCCTTGTCTGGAACCAGCAGCTCAGTCCGGGTGCTGCTGTCCTCTCTCTGGTGACCCCAGACACTGGCCTTGGAAGGCAGCTCAGGGGTACCCTGGTGGGTGTCTAAGCCGGGGCTGCCTCGAGGGGTGCTGGCAGCCACTGGGGTGCCCACGGCCTTCCTGGGGGATGCAGCCTCTGGTGGCGAGGATTTCCGGCCCCCTCGGGCAGGGCTGGCCTGAACTCCATTGGTGCTGCCCGGGGCTCCCGAGGGGCCCCCGCTGCCATCCATGCATTCCAGCCGCTCCTGCAGCTCTGCAAAGGTGCTGCAGCGGAAGTGGTCTGCGTCTCGGGGGCCTTTGGAGGGCCGGTGGCGGCTCAGGGAGGGGATGATGGGCACGAAGTCAGGCGGACCCTCGTTGTCAGTGAGCTCCCGGTCTGACAGCGCCGCCCCACCGGGCCCCACATAGATGACCGTGTCACAGGACTGCTCACTGCTGGAGGAGTAATCAGGGTCACTGGGCAGGCAGGGAGGCATGCGGTCGGGGTCCAGGGCCACAGTGCGCGGGTGGAAGGGCCGCAGGTGTGGCGGCCGACGGGCACGGCCTTCCTCACAGGAGCTCTCCCCGCCAGAGGAGCTGGAGGCGTACTGGGGAAAGAAGAGTGGAGCTGCTGAGCCTGGGCTCCCCGCACCCACTCTCGCATCCCACCCCTGACCCCCTAACCCTCCCCAGAGCGCAGGCCCAGTGCTGTGGTCACTGTGATGAAAACCACGTAGCCACCACCAAATGCTGGGAGCGGTCCTGCATCTCGGGCAAAGAACCTAAGTGACCGTTCTCAGCAACTTCACAAGGAAAACAGTGTTACAGCCGCATTGGGAGGAACGAGAAGCTCAAAAGGGGAGCACGCATGCCCAGGCCGGCAGCCAGGACTCAGACCGAGGGCCGCGTAACCCCGGAGTACCCCAAACTCCACCCTCCAGCCCCAGAGAGGGGCCCCCAGAAGCCCCTGCAGAGTTGGTGCGGCTCTCCCAAGCACCCCGGGGCCCGTGCAGGGGCAGCAGGCTGGAGTGAGGCCACACAGCAGCTCCGGTTCTGCTCACTGTACCCAGGGACCTCAGGCTGGGCTCCCTGCCCACCGCGGAGGGCTACATGGGCACAGCCTCAAGACACCAGAATACACAGGAGGGGTTACCCAGGCTCCAGGCCACTTGCTGCCCCTCCCCCACCAGGCCAGCAAGGGCTGCGCACCTTGGCCTTCTTCCGGCGGAGGCGGTGGATGCGGGCGGCGAGCTGCACGGTGCTAAGTGTCTCCGCGTGCTGGGCCGGCGCATCCGACACATGGGCGATCATGGTGGTGCGGCAGCCAGCGGTGGCCAGGGACTCCTGCAGCAGCATGGTGAGCCTGTGGTCCCTGGAGGTCAAGGGGGTTCAGACACCAGGGCTGCAGAGGGAGCTTCGAGGGCAGGGTGGCCGGGGGTGGCCCTGGGCCCAGTCAGGTTGGCACCCAGCTTTGGCAGCAGCCCAGTGTGGGCCCCAGGCAGTCCACAGGGAGTGAGGCCTGTCAGGTGGTACAGAAGCAAAGGCCCAAGGAGCCAGGGCCCAGAGCAGTGCCGGGCACACCCGACAGGAATCTGGCAGGTCACCAAGGGGCCACCCTGGCCGGCGCCTGCCCAGGGCTCACACTCACCGGTAGGGCACGTGCTTGGCTCCGTTGACCAGGGCCAGGATGACGCTGCCCAGGGCTGACAGGGACAGACACAGGGGACCCCCGGGGGCCTCCCCAGCCCTGCCAGGCACCGCCTCACAGCTGCCCAGGTCGATGAGGTGCAGGCGGCTGCGGCCTCCGGACACTGGAACCACAAGGTAAACAAATGACCGTGTAGTGGGGCCCCGACCCTGCTCCACAGCCCACCCCAGACCCTGCTCCACAGCCCACCCCCGACCCTGCTCCACAGCCCACCCCAGACCCTGCTCCACAGCCCACCCCCGACCCTGCTCCACAGCCCACCCCAGACCCTGCTCCACAGCCCACCCCAGGCCCAAGCAGGGGACCGCAGGGGACATTCCCAGACCCTTCTCCACAGCCCACCCCAAGCCCAAGCAGGGGACCCCAGGGGACATTCCCAGACCCTGCTCCACAGCCCACCCCAGGCCCAAGCAGGGGACCGCAGGGGACATTCCCAGACCCTTCTCCACAGCCCACCCCAAGCCCAAGCAGGGGACCCCAGGGGACATTCCCAGACCCTTCTCCACAGCCCACCCCAAGCCCAAGCAGGGGACCCCAGGGGACATTCCCAGACCCTTCTCCACAGCCCACCCCAGGCCCAAGCAGGGGACCGCAGGGGACATCCCCAGGGACACTGGGTGATGGGCCCCTGAGCCTGGGTCTCCACTGACGCGCCTCCCACAAGCACCCAGAGTGCAGGCGTGGCACCTACTTCCTCCCCGGCCGCACTTCTCCACGCGGTACTGGTAGACATGCAGCGTGAACAGCATGTGGGAGCTGCCACGGGTGTCCTCGCCACACCCTGCCTGGCTGGTGCTGCGGGCCGCCAGGGCCGCGTCCAGGTAGAAGGCCGCCTTCTCGGCCGTGGGTGCCCGCAGCTCACTCTGGTTCTGGAGCTGCAGGAAAGGCAGAGGCTGCGGTGTCTTCAGGGCCGCCCGAGCCCCGCCCCCTCCCCCAAGGTGGGACAGTAGGCCGGCGCACCTGCGCCCCACACACGGGGTCCTCCCTCAGGTAGACTCCTGGAGACTGGGCGTCCTGGAGGCTGCTGGGGGCCACCTCGGCCAGCAGGTCCCGCAGGCTCTGGTCGCGGCCGCACACCTCCACAGCTGAGACCCGGACTGAGAAGCGGGTGCCCGTCCTCTCCTTGCGCTCCTCGATGAGCCGGAAGAGCCAGGAGATGGCGCAGGGCATGATGCCAAGGCTCTGGGGTGAGCTGTCCTTCCCAATCATGGTGTATGACTTGCCTGGGGACCACACAGGCTTCAGGCCCTGCCATGCACCATGCTCCACACGCCACACGAGGAACACCACGTGAGGGACACCACTCGAGCAGCCCACAGAGCCCCCAGCCTTCCTGGGGTCCTCAGGGCCAACCTGGGGCACTGAGACCTCAGGCTACTTGGATCCATCCTAAGCCTCTCTGCGGGGGTTCAGCCTCCTCTCCACAAGCCCCTCACCCCACATGCCCCCCACTGCCCACGTGTAGAACCAGCCTCCTTTGCCACCAGAAGCCAACAGCAACCACGGAGACGAGGACGGGAGGGGGTGCCAGCAGGACCCATCTAGCGTGGGGCAAGGGCGCTCACCCAGGCTCACGTGGCCAAAGGAGAAAATGCAGCCATCAGCCCCACTGACCACCGACTGGAGCACATCGGCCACGGTCCCCGAGCAGACTTCCGCCTAGTGGGGGTGGGAACAGAGAGTCAGGCAGGTGCCCAGGCCCAGGGCGGCGGCCCCTTCCTTCTGCCACATCTGTGGGCCTGAGGCCAGTCTGTCCTGGCACATGCAGGCAGTCGGCCCACAAGGAGATTGGGCTGCACACCCGGGCCCGGGACAGACCTCCCACGTGCTCACGGAAGGCACGGAACACACACAAGATGGACTGGTCAGACACGTGCACACACACCCTCAAAGCACAGCAGTCCCGCTGCCGGCGGCAGGCCACGACAGGGAGACAGACACACACGGGACACAGGTGCACCACACAGCACCAGCAGCAGCACTGGGCGCCCCAGAGCCCAGAGCCAAACAGCTACTTAGAAAGCATCCCGGGAGGGTGGGCTCCAGAAAACCAGGCGTTTCCCTGCGGACTTGGCCTGGTGAGGACACCCACGGAGGCTGGCCCAGGTGATGAGGGAGGCAAGCCGGCAGTGGGCCCCCCTCACTCACTCTTCCTCTGCACTCCGCACAGGGAAGCAGGTACAGATCGGACCTGTGTGCTGAGCCAGCAGCCGGGCCCCGGGCCCCCAGGAGGATGCCTGCCCATACCTGCTCGGAGTCCTGGGGGAACACAGCATCGAAGGCAAACATCTTGGGAACTGCAGCCGTGGTAGCTCGCCGGGGCCCTGAGCTGCCCGGGGGACCGGCGGCCGGATCGTAGAGGATCACCTGCTTCTTCCGGGGGTCCACCTTCAGGAAGGACATGGCCTCGGCCGAGCGCTGGGCCCCCTGTGCCGGCCAGATCCGCAGCATGACCTTCACCTGGGTGGAGGCGGGAAGCACCTAAGAAGCTGCCTCCGCCCAGCTGGCCAGTAATTACAGGGCAGGAGGGGCCCAGCTCGGGTGGGGACAGCAGGCCAGGCCTCACATGGGCACCCTCACTGCAGGAATGTGGACGCCACACCCCTGCTCCAGGCAGGAGCAGATCCCATATGAGGTCAGCGGAGCAAGGAGGTGAGGGCCAGGGAGAGGCAAGGCCGATGCAGTCTGTCAGCACCGAACGAGCAGCACAGAGAACAAGGGGGTGGCAGGCTCCAGATGCCTCCGTGAGAAGACGGACGGATGCTCAGGTCCTGTAGGGCAGGTCAGTCCAGGAGAGGGCAGGAGGGAGGAGCCAAGCCCCCAGGCCCAGACCCTCCAGGCTGTTCTCCCAGGCTAAGCCCAAGCACTTGCAAGACAAGAAAATAAACCGCCCCACAGAGGCGTGAGAGCCGCGGAGGGGTGGGGGCCGTGGAGGGGTGAGAGCTGCAGAGGCTGGCACTGCCAGGGGAGGGCTCCAGGGGCATGGCTCCTCCGACCTGGGCCAGGTGAGGGAACTGAGCCCTGGCACCCCATGGCCTGCAGGACTAGCGTCAACAGAAAGCGGGGGAGCCCGTTCAAAGGCAAACGAGAAGGGGCAAGACAGGAAGCATCCCACCCAAGGGAAGATGCGAATTCCAACAGTCGGCCTCACCCGCCCCACTTCGGGCTTAGGGAGGCTGAGGGGGGCTGGTGGTGGGCAGGCTGAGGGTGGCGCTGGGATTCCAGCCTGACCTCCCAGGCCTCCCAGGCGGGCAGGGAACCAGGCAGCCCTCATGCTGGGCAGAAGCAGCGGTGTCTCCAAAGCACACACACAGATCTCAAACTGTGCCCCACACAGGCAGGCATGGGACTTGGGAAGACCCTGACAGTAGCCCCAGAACCCCAAGAGGGGACAGATGCCAGGGAGGGGCAGAACCCAGGATGCCAGAGCCCAGAGCAAGCACTGCAAACACTCCAAAACCCACGTGCAGCACGGACGCCCCGACAGGCAGATCCTGCGTGTGGATGCCAGGGTGGGGGCTCTGACCTGACGGAGGCTGCACCCGTGAGAACCACCCTGAACCAGGGCTGCAACGCGGAGCCAGACACAGGCCCCAGTTCCGGCTGGAGGACACCACAGACCACCCTGTGCTGAAGTCTCTGATTTCTCCACTACGGCGTAAATCAAATTACCCAAGACTCATTTCAGAGCCAGTATTTTTCTCGGATTTAATTGTAAGCGACAGATACATAACGCCGGCAAAATTGGTTTACCATGGGTAGTTCACACCAGGCGCCATCTACTCCCCCTGGGCACAGGGCACATTGATATGCAAGCGGCTGGGGCCGGCAGTGCCCGCTCTCCGGGGAGCAGCGTGAAGAAACACTTTTCTATTGTACTGCTCAGAACCTGGGCTCCATTAGGCGAGAATCGATTCTTTTATTCCCCTGACGACAAGAACAAAACTATTTCATTTCCAGACGCCGCCGCAAAGCAGACGAAAACGTGCACTTCCCGGGAATTTCTGGCAATTTTTTTTCCAGCGTGAACTCCTCACACTTCAGGAGCCAAATGGGGTCTGCAGGTTTGAGAGAGTTCCTAGCGGGAAGGAGCGGCATGGGAGAAGCAGGGTTTGGCTCTGGACATCTGCCCGCCCCTCCCAGAGCAGACGCACAACCAGGAGAGGGGTGGGGCCTCCCTGGGGAGGGGCAGAGCAGCCCACAGTGGGGACACCGGCCGTGCAGCCTGCCCCACACTGCCCTGGTCCCAGCGCAGGCCACTGTTTTCCGGGAGAGGACAGCGGGGAATGATGGTCTTTGCGGGGGAAGGCACAGCAAGTGTCTCCCCTAAATGTTCAGATTACAAAGCCCCGCTGAATCACTGCCTCATAGGGAAAAACACATCTTGCATTTACAAAGGGCTTCCAGCTCCGGAGGGGGGGGGGGCTGCTCCGCCCCCACCCAGACAGGGGTGTCTTTCTAACACCACGGTGTGATAATCGTCCTAAGTAGCACATTAATGTCAGAAATTGAACATAATCTAACTTCTGTTCTGTGACAATATTAAACATCTTTCAGGCGGCATTTCTGACTGTGACATTAGTGTTAATAACACCGGGGAGCGGGGGTGGGGGCCGTGAGAGGCAGGGAGCTGGGGGGTGGGGGATGGGGGGCTGGAAGGCTGGCGGCCAAGGGCTCCATGTCACTGGGAAAGCAGTAAGGGCTCCGGGACAGGGTGGGGGTGTGACTGCCTTGGGGAGAAGGGAGAAGCCCCACCAAGGCTGCCCCCTAAGAAACTCGGGGCCCCGGGAACAGCAGCGGCTCAGTGCAGTGGGCTCCTAAAAGAGCAGCCGACTCCTCTGCGTACCCCCCACACGGATGGCGCAAACAGACTGAGTGCCAGGCCCAGGCCAGAGCCAGGGCCCTGATCCCAGCCTGGGTGGGAACCTGGATGCTGCCTGCCCTCCACCGCCCACACCTGACCTCAGCTTCCCCTGGCTCTCAGCATAGCTCTGCAGCCCACGTGGCTGGTCAGCAGCAGCCTGACCCACAGCACCCACCTGCCCTGTCTCAAGGGGACTGTTGAGGGTGGAGAGGATCCAGATGCCCCACCCAGCCACGCCTGGGCCCAAAACACAGTCTGACGCCGCAGCCTCAAATCCCAGGGGACTACAGAAAAACAGCCCGTGCCAGGCGCAGGCACGCAGGTCAGGAGCCCCCTCCTCCCCTGGCAGTGCTGGGCATAGAGATGTCCAGGGACACAGCAACCCCCAGCCTAGCCCCCAAGTCTGCTTCACCCACCACCCCACCTCACTCCAGGCTCCGCCTTGCCCCAACCCCAGCTGAGCAACCATGGACTTCAGATGCAGAATGTGGCCTCCAGAGGATGGAAATGCCAGGTGCCCGCCAAGCCCTCCTCAGCACAAACAGAAACAAGCGCCCAGAGGGACAGACCCAGGTAGCCGGCAGGGCGCTCGGGGTGGGGACCTGAAGTCAGGGAGATCAGGAGCTCCCAGTGGTCGCACCACAGGCTCCCCTTGGACACATAAGCAGCTCCACGGTGCCAACCGCCTGACACCCCCACCCGGACCCGCCATGGCTCCAGGCTATCAGGACCACGCCACAGGCCACCCCAGAGCCCCTGTGCCCCACAATGGCCCTCCCCAGGGACCCACTGCTGACCCAGACCAGTAGCCACCATCAATTCACACCAGGACTGGCCTGGAGAGGTGGGGGGCTCGAGTCACTGAAATGAGCATTCCAGGGGCTACAAGTACAATGCTGACGATGCCACCAGGAGGGCAGTGGACACAGCCGCCCAGCAACTGCACCACGAGGGCGGGGCCAGGCACACAGTCACTTAACACCCTTCCCCAGAGCCGGCATGTTGGGAACCCTACTGCTGGCCTGACTCCTCCCGAGCTTTATCAAAACCCCAAGTTGTGGGTGCCAGGAGGCCCCTCCAGGACTACACAGCTGTGAGGATCAGGCATCCTGGACCCAGTACAGCTAGGGCAGTGGGAGGGACCCGTGGCACCCCCAGGCCCAAGGACAGGGGCCTTCTGCCAAGGGGTCTCTAACATAGGCACAGCATCCCTTCCAGATCCTGTCCCTGGGGAGCTGAGCCCCTGGGAAGCATAGGCCGAGTCCAGGGGGCATGAAACCTGATGGCCCATGTGGGGCACGGAGCCTGCAAGGCCTCCTCCAGGCCTGGAGATGCAGTGCCACCTGGAAGACGGCAGTGCTTTTGGGGTGCTAGGGTGGGAGGGGGCTGGCTGCAGAGCAGGCAGAGGGGCGGGAAAAAGCCACAGGGGGACACCACAGGTGCGGGGTCCAATCCTCACCTCCAGAGCCATGTGACCGACTTCCCACCCTCCATGGGCATGAAGGGCCCACCTCACTCCACGAGCCCAAGAACCAGGCAGTGCCAGCACCCAGCACATGGCAGGGCCACTGTCCGGATGGAGGAAGGTATTTCTCTAAGACTCAAGCCCCAGACCCCAGGCTCAGAGCTCCAGGGGCAGCCAGAGGGCAGCCTGTCCCATGAGTGATCGAGGCCCTGTGCTCTCCCAGGCTGAAGTCTTCCCATCTGGAGCGCGGCGCCAATCACCCTATAACACATCCCCCACCCACAGTGTGGGCCCTCCTGGACACGGTGACTCCTGAGAGCAGAGGGTCCCCTCCTGCCCTCAACACCCTCCGGCCGCATCTCAGTAGAGCCTACAAAAGGGGCTTCCCCAGATCAAAACCAACCCTTAGTGCCTGGGAGCCCCGTGACCTGGCTGACCTCATGCTGAACCTAGCACATGCCCCTGGGGCCCCCAGGACATGCCGCCTCCCACCCGTCCCCACAGCCCCAGTCCAGCACAGGCCCCCCTAGCTCCCTGCTACCACCTGGGCCTCAGTCTCCCCATAGCACCCCACTGACCACCCTTATCCAACACAGAGAAGGAAGTGGCGGCCTCTCCACTCCTGCACCCCTCCCTCGACCCCTCAGATGTCCCTGGCCTCCCCACCCTGGGCCCCAACGTTGGGCTGCATCTACCTTCCCAATGCTGCCAGGGTTGTCCTTGGTCTTGGAGGTGGCCCTGAGCAGGCAGGGGGGTGCCGGGGGCGGCCACAGCTGCAGGACCCCGCTGAAGTCGGTGGGGTAGGTGGAGGCGCCGCGGGAGGCTGGAGGCGGTGGTGGGTGGGGCTTCTTGCGCTTGGAGGCCAAGCTGAGCTTCTGCACAGCCCTGGGGAAGAGAGGTGGCAGGATCAGTGGTGGTGACGGCAGTGTCCTGTCACCTACCTGTAAGTCACCAGGCAATCCCAACCTGGGACCCCATCAGCCACCATCCCAGGAAGCACAGCCCGAAATGCGGCTGTGAGGCCCTCGCTCCACTTTTGCAAGTGGACGGTTCAGGCTGCGGCCTCCATGGTGTCCGCGCCCCGGGGGCTCCATCCAGCATTTGGACCGGGCCAGGGACAGGGGGTCCAGACCAACACAGGTGGGGCCCTCCCTGCACTCTGCACTGAATGCCACCCCCACAACCAAGGCCCGTGCCCTCATCCCCCACCGCAGTGGGGGCCGGACAATGAAAGCTGCTCCCGCCAACGCCCAGGCCGTGGGCAGCCATGCACAGCTATAACCTGGGCACGTCCACCTAGCTTGCCTGTGCCTCAGTTTCCACATCTCCAAAGTGGGATGAGGTGACAGTGGAGGCCTGGGTGTTGCCCTAACGAACGGACGCACTCAAGGTACCCAGCACAGTGCCCGCATACAGGAGGGGCTCAGTTAACGCTGCTGTCGAGATTACTGTGCCCTAGTCCCCAGTGAGGCAGCCTTGCCCCTTGCCATACTCCGAGGCCCTGGAGCCATCCTGGAGCCACTGCCCCACTCCAGGGCCCCCGTGGCCGCTGCCACCCTTGCTACTCAGGGCTGCTGGGAAGTGCCCCCACTGCCACCCTGCCCCTCACCCGGGCTGAGTGCCTCCCGACCCCACAGCCCACCCTGAAGCTCAGCCTTGCCCCAGCACCTCCAAGGGCGGGGCATTCCTGCACCCACAGCACCCCCAGGGAACTCCAGAAGGTACAGAGTCTCCCGAAGCCCCAGACCACAGGACCCAGGTAGAGGCTAACACCTGGGTTTAACACACCCACCAGGGGAGGCCGAGGCATGCTTGGGAGCCACTGGGGTGGACTCCCAGGGGACCTCGAGTCCCAGGGGACACACGGAAACATGCATGCATACAGAAACACACAGACACAGACAGAAACACGCACACATACAGAAACACAGAGACACACACACAGATACAGAGACATACACATGCATACAGAAACACAGAGAGACATACAGACACACACGGAGACACACAGAGACATACAGAGACATGGGCATACAGAGAGACAGACACAGGCACAGAGACATGCATGCAGAGACAGAGACATACAGAGACACATGCAGACATAGAGACACATAAAGACACAGAGAGACACATACAGAAAGACACAGGCACACACTCAGACACACACACTCAGACAGAGATAAGGATACACAAACACACAGAGAAATGCAGAGACACACACAGAGACGCACACGCAGAGGACAGGCCCACCGCGCCTCTGACCCTTGGCTGTGCTGACCCTGCTGCTGGGGACGGGTGGCCAGGTCAAGCCACTGTGCCATGCCTACTCCTGGCCCGCACCCTCGCAGGGCCCCACAGCCACCCAGAGCCCCACTCCGCTTGTGGGCCCACCAGCACAAGGACACCAGGATGCCACAGCGGTGAAGGGACACACACACACACAAGGTGTCACCACCTCCAAACAGGAGGCACTCCCACACAGGGCCAGAGGCCAGGATGCCACCCAGTGAAGGGTGTGGTTGACCCTGCCCGCTGTGCTCTCCAGACCCATCCTGGGCTCCTCTGTCCCCTAATGACCCCCACAGCTCTCGGCCTCTCAAGTCCATCTGGACTCCCTAAAACTGACCCGAGTGTGGAAGGACCTGCACCCCAGTGCCGGGCCCGGCCTCTCGCTGCCCCGCCGCCTCAGCTGAGCGCTGGCGTTTTGCTTAACTTCTTTCATCTTTAATAGGAATTGTCTTTTAAGAGACCCCAGGGACGGCTTTCCTCCTAGTGAGGTGTCATCGTGGAAAATAAAAGTAATCTACGGCACGTGGCGGAGTCCTTAACAGGGCAGTGGCGGGCGGCGCCTGCAGCCACCCAGGGAAGACAAGGGGCCGGGCCGGGGGCTGCCGGGAGCAAGAATTCCAGGAACCAAACCCAGGGCTACCCAGGAGAAGCCCAGATCCTTCCAGGTGTGGGAGGCCCGCCGCCTTGGGGACGTTGGGTTGTTTGCCCACAGCTGGTGGTAGCAGTGGCACCTGCATCCAGGAGTCCAGGCCTGTGTGCCTGAGACCTTCAGACCTCACCTGGCATCACCAGCATTTACCCCACACTGTGCCTAAGCCTCGTCTCTAAGGACCTCACAGCAGTGCCTTGTCCCCTCCTCACCCAAAGACCACACAGATCAGCGGGAGGATGGAGGCCGGTGAGGTTCCCCGCACTGTGTCTGTGTGCCTCTGCGTCTCCATGGTGCAAGAAGCCCGGGCAGAGGGGAACTCTGAGACGAGCAGGGGGCAGAGCCACAGAGCCACAACCAGAACCTCGGAGTGACCCCCAGAGGGAGCAGGGAGACTGGGGCTGCGTCTGCTCGTTTGGGGGCACAGGCAGCAGGAGGCTTGGATTTTACCAGTGGCTGCTCTTGGGGGTTTTCCTGCCCACCCAGCACCCCAGCATCAGCCTCATGTTCCAGGCCCCCACCCCACAACCTTGGGTTACCCCTCAGCTTCCTGTCAGACCCCCGCAAGGGAAGAAGCTACGGCCCTGGTTTGGAGAACCTCAGCATCTAGCAGGCAAGACAGGGACGGCCTGCCCCAGCCTGCTGCGTGGCACTGCCCCCAGAACTGGGACCCCAGCTTTCTCAGCGTGGGGAGAGGGGAAGAGCGGGGCACTGCAGGTGCAGGGAGGAAGCCCCCTAGCAGATAATCTGGGCAGGAAAGGCTGAGGACAGTCCCCCCAGGGGCCCTGATAAGGAACAGGGAGCCACCCTGGACCCCTTACCTCCTCTGGAAATAGATGTGGGGACACCCAGCACGTACCCTCACTGGAGGGTGTCTGCTGGGCCTCAAGCCCATGGGGCAGGTCATGCCCACCTAAAGCCAGCTCCTCGCCCCTCCCCTGCAGCCCCCCAGGCTGGGCGGGGTCAGGGTACCAGCTCCAACCTGAGGCTGTGGGCGATAGGGCATGGGCACCCACACCCCAAGCCTCCAGGGGGCACGGTGGCCGGGCCGGTACTGGAGATGGAGCCGCACTTCGAGAAGCCAGAGGGAGATGGAAGCTGGAGTCTCAGGTCTGCAGAGCCAAAACCAGGCAGGCGCTTTGCCCTATTGGCCACCAGAAACAGCACGAGGGCTCTGCCCCTCCACTGACCCTCGCAAAAGCCCAAGTCTGCAGCACAGGTGTGCCTGGGCCACAGTGGCACACACAGGCCCCAGGCCGCCTGGACAGAGGCTGGACCCAGCGTCCTCTGCGCTTCCACCGGCCCTGGAGGTCTAGAAGGTTGTTTGCCCCACGTGTGCACCCCACAATCTGACCTCACGTGGGCGCCCGTCCTCCTGGGGCCCTTCGCCGACAGGCTGCACCCCAGCCTGCTGGCCCTCCCGGTGCCCGCTCTCACGGGCTGACCTCACTGGCATGACTCAAAGGCCCATCACTGCGCTAATGAGGCCTGAGAACGGGCACTTTCTCTGATGAAATTCAGGCCCCCATGGAAACGCCCGTCAGACACAGAAACAGCAGCCCCTACCTGGCGACCACGCTTAGGTTCAACAGCCCTTGAGGGCTCCCAGCCTTGGGAAGGCAGGAACTTGCTTTCTGGGCAGTGGGGATGGTCTCCCGCAGGCTACAACAGACGCTGTCCACACCCAACACTGCCAGGGAGCGGCAGCCCTCGGTGGGCAAGCCTGAGGGGTTTGACTCTGAAGGGAAGACTGAGAAAAAGCAGGAGCTTCACCTGCATATGCAGCCCCTATCCTCACAAGACACCTCCTCCAAGAAGCCTGCGCTGAGGCCCCGAGATGGGTGTCCCCAGCCCCTGCACCTCCTGCTTCTATAGGAACCGCCCCCTGCCGTGAGACACCAGTTTACACAGCTGTGTCGCTGACAGCAGGGGCCATGCTCACAGACCGTGCTCAGAACACGCGAGAGCAAGGATGAGTGAGAGTAGGGTCCGCGCCCCCAGAGCCACTGGGTGTCTTGTTGCAATCCACAGCCTTGCCTGGCTCATTGGTCCTGGCCATCGATTCATGTAAACAGAAAGGGAAATATTTTCCTTTTTAAAGAGAAAAATCACCTCTTCCAAACAAGAGGGTAATTTCACAGGTAGTTGGTCTTGATGGCGAGGCCCTTAATTACCCCAAAGAGACATGAAAGCCTCTGCCGTGGCAGGCAGGAATCAGTTACAGGCAACCCAGAGCTTCCACACTGGCCGGGTGAGGCTGGCGGACAGAACCCACCCTCCCTACCCCACCTCACCCCAGGGGCACCTGCCACCTGCTGGACCTGCACCACCAAGGAGCCAGAGCAGGCGTCGGGGGACCCCAGCGGGGACATCAGCAGCTGCAACTGATGGCCAGCCCTTCCCATGTCCTGGATTTTCACCCACAGGCCAGAAGACGGGTGGGGACCCCTCTCCAGACAGTGCCTTCCATGTGGATCCCTGGCTAAGCCTCTGGGCAGTGCCGCCCCCACTAGCGTGGCCCTGCCGCTGGGTGTCAGCCTGACCATCCATGGGCCTTGCCATCCAGGCAGACATGGGGAGCTCTGCTGAGGCCACAGTGAGGTGGAGAGCGGGGGTCTGGGGTACCTGTGTGTGCCATGAGGTGCCCCCCACCTAAGAGAAGCAATCTCCCTCGGCAGTTCTTCCAGAGACATTGGATTTGGGGTCTGGGAAGGGACTCCCATATCAGCACGGCAGCGGGCAGGCGAGAGTGTGATGGTGGAAGCATCTCTGCAGAGGCTCCCAGCACCGGCACGGAGGATCGCGGCCTCAGACAGTCTTCAGAGTCACCAGAGCCTTCAGAGCATTCCTCACCCTGGGGGCCACCGCCCAGACGCCCCACCTTTGCCAACACCCGCTAGGCCAGCATACCGAACTCTGTCACGGCTACGTGGCCTCGGTCCCTGCACCCCCCCAGCCACCCCCGGGGATGATGGCACGGGGCTCAGCCCCTGTTAGCATTAACAAAACCCAGGCACCCACGGGACCACTCCACACCCCAGCTTCCCCGTGTGGAGATGAGGAGCCCAGAGACTGGTAGAAGAGTCAGGGGCAGCCCGAGGCTGGTGCCCTAGCCAGGGGTGGGTACTTGTGGTCAGCAGCAGAGCCAAGACTCACCCCAGGCCGACAGGATTCAAAAACCCAAACTCCTGACCTCTGTCCCATACTGTCTCCACTTGGCAATGCTGCCTGTCAGACTCCTACTCAACCCTCAAAGCCCACTCCCTAAGAGGCCACTCTGCCCTGGCTGCTGCTCAGTCCCGTGCTGCCATCTAAGGCTGCCTCCACAGAGGTACCCCATCCAGACTGGAAACGTCCTAAGGGCAGGGCAGGGGCTGCAGTCAGCACCGCCCCTCCCAGGTCCTCTGCAAGGGTGGAGGCCGGAGCACAGAAGCTGCCCTCAGCACACGCCCAAGACCCTAGGGCAGGGGCTGAGCTGCACTGTCTCCTGGTGGACTCGCCCCCCGACTCTGAGCCACAGCCCCACACCCATAAGACCCAGGAGCGGACAGCCCCTCTGATCTCACCCCAAGAGTTCAGGGTGCTGCCGCCCCAGAGAGGAGGTCTCCCACCACTGACCCCAGCCTACGTCAGCACGTCAGGCACCCATCGACTGAGCCCACCTGCCAGGACGTCCCCCACCACAACCTGACCCATGACCTGTCCCCCGCAGTGGCCTTGCAGAAGCCGCTGAGACCCAGGGTGCCTAACAGGCTGGAAGTAATGGCAGCTGGCAGCGCCCCTACCTCGCGAGACCTGCCTCGGGTCCCCAGCCTACGCACAGGTTTCTATGGCAACTTCCCAAGGTCAGCAGGCAGCGCCACTGGGGAGCAGCACCAGCCTTGGCTCCCAGACAAAAGGCAGCAGGGACGCTCTGGGGGCTCCAGGTCATCAACCAGCCAGCCCGGGGGCTGACACCCCACCCCTGCTTCCGTGTCAGGACCCCTCCTCGGGCACCAGGGCCCTTAGCATCAGGGACGGGGGCGAGCTCTGAGCACTAGAGCTATTCTTTCTTTTCTAGCAGTCACCACATTTCAAATCCTCCTGCCACAGAGGACCGGAAGGAGGGTGGCCACAGGGCCGTGCCCAGCCCAGCCACACAGCCCTTTCACTCAGGACAAGGCAGGGTGGGATGGGGTGGGCTGGCACACACATGGGGGACGCCAGAGCAGCCTGGGCAGGACCCCCACCCACTCCCACCAGGGTCCCAGCCAGCCGTGTTCTCAGTGCCTAATTGGGGTGGCACCGAGGCCACACCAGTCACGTGCATGGCCTGGCTGATCTCCCACGCAGCGGTGTGCTCATCAGCCCTCAGCCCGGCACACGGCAGCGACAATGCCCTAATCACATGCCCCGTCACTCTGCAATCAGACCGCACAGTCCCCAGGGCCGGCGCTGATAAGACTCCCTCCTCTCTGGCCGCCGGGTGTGATGCGTGTTCAAGCTTATCAGTACCTCGCGGGGCTGCTAATGGGACAGTGACCCGCGGCTGGGCCTGCCATTACCAGGCAATTACATCCTGTAATCCGCGTTCTTACACCACCGGGATGAGGGGAGGCCCTGCCACGGGTACGCAGGACCAAGGGCCCCACTGGGAGGGGCCCAGAGGAGGCTCCCACGCCGCGCTCCTCCACGCCAACTCCCCTCCCACCTCTGCTCTGCTGCTCCCTCTACCTGGCCCGCCACATCCACGCCAGTTGGTCCATGACCTGGTGCCTTCGGGGCCTCGGGCTTGGCACTAAGGCAGTGGTGGGGGAGGGGGGCATAGAGAAACCAAACACTCCGAGCTCAGGGCCTGGGAAGGGGCCAAGCAACGTCGGACATGGTCACCCGACGTGGGCTGCTGCTGGTGGAGGCGGCCCTGCTGACCACGAGCCCGGCTGGCACTGTGGGCACCACGGGCACCTGCCCAGGCCCCTGCTGCCCCGTCAGACATGGTCACCCGACATGGGCTGCTGCTGGTGGAGGCGGCCCTGCTGACCACGAGACCGGCTGGCACTGTGGGCACTGTGGGCACCACGGGCACCTGCCCAGGCCCCTGCTGCCCCTCCCCTTGTGCTGCCCCGAAGGCCGGCCTGGTCATCTCCACGGCCCCAGCCCGCGCCCGCCCCAGCAGCCCCCGATGTGCACAGCTGAGCGGCTCCCCCGGCCAGCTGCATTCTCCGAACTTCACAGACATTTTCTTGCTGCATTCACAATGACTCTATGAGGAGGAGCCCAGCTGACGGGAGGAAACTGAGGCACAGAGAGGTTAGGTGATTTGCCCAAGATTGCACAGCTCAGAAGGAGCAGGGGCCGGGCTCCAACCCAGGCAAGGTCCTGGCACAGAGCCCCTCCTTGGCACTGCTCCCCTGAGGGTGACATGCCCCCAACATTCCTCTTGACACACACAGGACAGGCACTGCTCTGGCATGGGCTCTGAGAGGCCGGCAGGTGGCGAGCAGCTCAGCAGCTGTGATCCATGAGCTCCCCACCCACTCATCTCGGCAGCAAGCATGGCCAATACCCCCAGGAATGGCCCGCAGGTCCCCAGGGACCCAGAGCTGGGGCCATGCCTCCCACACACTGCCCTACCCACAAGGGTGCCCAGGACGTACCTTATGAAGAAGGAGGCTGCAGCGGAGGGGCCTGTGGAGCCCCCCACCAAGCCCGGAGTCGGGGTGACCAGGGCCGATGTGCAGGCCCCACCACCGCCCCAGGCCTTCGACAAGCCATCAGGGCCCGCCATGGGGGTGCCTTCTCGGACCGAGTCTGCCACCGCCACAGCTGCCACCGCTGCCTCAGCCTGGAGGGAAGGAGAGAGCGAGTATGAGGAACCGATGGGCAGAGACAGCACCGCCCCCAGGCACCAGGAGTGGGAGAGACAGGCCTGGGCACCCCGGAGCCCAGAACACTCCTGGAGGTGCTTCACCCTCAGGACCCAGCCCATGAAGCCAGGAAGGCCCCAGAAATCAGGGCTGGGAGAGAGGGCCAGTGGGGAAGGCCTGCCCGGCCCTGAAGTCACATCCCCAGCTCACAGGTGCGGGTGGTCCACCCCAGCAGGCCTCCTTGAAGGCAGAGGGGGAGGCAGATGGTGGCCCAGGAGCCAGACTTTCTGCCTCTCCCCCATCAAGCTCCAGAATCACAGTGACCACAATGGTCAGGACCGATGAACAGAGGACCCCCGCCCTCTCACCCCTGTGCCACCTGGGAGCACCCAGCAGCATTAATTGGAGAAGAAACCACAGTAAATATTTGGCAGGAGCGCTAATTGCCCACGTATGGTGATGTATGAGGCTCCCTCAGCTGAAATACTACCCTGGCATTTCCAACTCATTAGCTCCAATAAATCCCAGAAAGGGAGGCCGCCTCATAATGAAGCACACACGTAATTAAACGCCCAGGACGGCCCAGCCAACGTGACTCCACCTCCGCACGCTCCGTTCCCACACACACCTGGCCCCTGGCCGGGCAGGGAAGGCTTCAGCCCGCCACCCATGACCCCCCTCACCGGGCCCCCTCTGCCCGAGCTCTCCAAGGACCCCCCTGGGCACTGTAGCCTGGTCACGGTTGCCTGGGTGCCAAGTGTCCAATCAACAACCACCGCCCGTGGTGTGCTTTGTGCCCAGGCTGGCAGAGCACTGGGTCCCCATGCTGAGGGGACGTGGGCTGGTCTGGAGGGCTCAGTTTCCTCAGGGTGTCGCACGTGGCACAGGCCAGAGGCCAGGCACGGCACATCAAGAGAACAAGCCACCCGAGGCCCCAGTGGGATGCTCCAGACAGAGGCCCTGCCATCCAGGCAGTCTCCCTCCTCACCCTGTGGAGGTCTCACCCTGTCCAATCCCTGTCCGGCACCAGCTTCCAGGCCCCATGGATGCTAGGACAGAACCACGTCTGCAGCGGGAAGTTCAGCTCACAGACAGCCCCAAGACCTTTAGGCTGGAAGGGGCTGGGCACCCTCCCAGACCCCAGGCACCAGCCACTCCTCCGGGGCTTCCAGAAGGACTGGCCAGTAGCAGGAAAGGGTGAACCTGGGACCTTGAACAGCTCACTGGACACTGCGCCGGCACAGCACACCCACCACCAGCCTGCGGGGCAGGAACTCCACATCCCTCTGCATTCAGCCTGGCCAGCCCCCTTGCCTCAAATGTGGATGCTATTTTATCACTTAACATATGTGTGCTCCCTATCCAAGGCCTAAACTCCTTAGCTGAGCAGACAGGCGCAGGAAGGAGTTAGCTTTAAAGCTGCAATGTCAGCAGCAGGTCCTCAGCCCCTCGAGTAGAGCCAGAGCTGGCTGAGCACCCCCAGGCATGGCACTAGCACCCAGGGCCAGTGCTCCAGGGGGCCAGGGCCGGGGGCATACCCCCCACAGCCAGCATGGCACCCACAGGCAGCTGGCGTGGCCAAGATGGCACCACTGTGGGCCCACATTTGGCATCCAGGCCCCATCAGTCTCCAGAAGGCACCAGGACACCCTGCCTTCCCCGCCGGACAGGGGCACCGAGGCTGGAGGGGCCAGAGCAGGGACAGAGCTGCAGTGAGGAGCCCACCCAGCCCCTCCAGCCTCTCCCACAGGGCCCGAGCCCTCCCCCATCTCAGGCCAGCCTCTCCATCTCCAGCCAGAGGTTCTGGCCCCGGCCAGCTGCGCCTCCCCGCACTGACCTGTGTCAGGAGTCCGGCACGCGCCTCGGCTCCACCATCCCACGCGCTGCCGGGACACCGCCCCATCCGCCGGGACGGCCACTGCCAATTCCTGCCGGAAGCAGAGCCCAGGCATGCCAAAAGAAGCTGTCTGGCAAAGCGAGAGCCGGGGGCAGGGGAGGACGGCGAGAGGGAAGACCACGACACGGGGGCAGAAGAGAGGGGGCAGGCGGCCAAGCAGAACACGTGATGGAGGCGCCACAGCAGCAATGGAAGGAAAGGCGGGAGAGAGGGCAGCGTGAGGCCTAGGGGCGCACAGCTGAGGGGCCCCCCCAGCGGGAGCTCCTGAACCACAGCAGGCACCGGGCAGCCGGCGGAGAGCACCTGCCACCTTGGGGAACACAGTTTAGGAAATGCCAAGCTAACCCTTTCCTCAGGAGCCCTCCAGGCCTGAACAGGTCTGTAAGCTTCAGGCCCCTGAGAGAAACATTTCCCTGGGTGCTGTTTCATGCTGAAAAGTGGGGGAGAAAGGGAGGAGGGGGGCTGAGGAGCAGCCGGAGGCTCAGCGCAAACTCCCAGTTGCCACCGTCACCCCTGCAAGCGTGTGGATGTGCCCATCCTGCAGAGCCTCGAGAGGGGGACTCGCCCGCCCACCACAAGCTCCGGCCTCATCACCAAAGGGCCCTGGGGCCTGGACAGCCCTGAGTTGCAAGATCTGCCCCTGCCTGGCCCGACTCAGCCCTGAGGACCACGGGACCCCCTCTGGAGCCATGCCTGGCAGGAGCCCCCAAGCTGTTGACACCCAACTTTATGCATGGAGGCAGTCTAGCTCCTCAGGGCCACCGCCAATACCTCCAGCACCCCACCCCGACCACCGGGCCACCCTCTGTGAGAGCTCCACTGTGCCACTTCCAACCCACCGTGGCTCTCAAGTCCAGAGCCTGGGTCTCACAGCTCAGTTCACAGTGGGAAATGCGCCACGGCTCACAGCCTGTCCCAGGCTCTGGCAGCCTCTGGTGGCGTGGGCAGGACACTGGGGTGGCCCCCACAACCACTGTCCAGAGCTCTCAGGACAGGTGGGCTGGGGTACAGACACAGGGCCAGGCTCCATGGGCAGCTTCTGTCCTCCGCAATGGTAGCACTGCCCCAGCCCAACAGCCCAGAAAGAACTGCTCAAGAGCCAGGCCAGGCGGCTCCACAGTGCAGGAGTCTCTGAACAGTCAAGATGTGGGATGTTCCAGACCCTCCTGAGAGACCCGGGCTGCCCACCACCCTCCAAGGACCAGCCTCTGGCCAGACCCAGACACATTCAGCATCCCCTGCCAAGCCCAGGCTGAGGCCACAGTGCCATGGCTGGGCCCTGACTGCCGTCTCCACACCATGTAACAGAGGGGGCTGCAGCACCCCATCCCGCCCACTGGCCCCCGGTCAGTGTTCGCTCGGCCCAGGGGTGGCGGATGGTCTGCGGTGGAGATTTGCAGCACGTGTCTTCACAAGTACTTAATTCTAGAGTCTAACAGGCGCCATGAACAACCAGCACCACGCTAACGATCAGTGCCCTGGTTCCGGAAATCACCCCATCTGAATCCTAAAGCTCTATTTATGGTTCTAATAATCTCCCGATCAGTTGCCAGGACTGTTGTCTCATTTTAAATCCACTCCCACCCACTCTGGACACGGTCGATACGCACCGAACACTGGGCAGCTCAGGGTGAGCCTGTGATCTTCTCCACCCTCCCCGGTTGGGCCCTCAGCCACCAGCAGGGTGCAGTGAGACCAAGTGAGCCAGGGACACAGGAGCAGGAGACGGAGGTGCCTGTGCCCACCATCCTGGGTCTCAGGCCCAGCCCCGGAGACTTCCACACAGGCCCAGCTCAATGGCACCTCCTCCAGGATGCTGCCTGGCTCACCCGCTGTAGCCTAGCACCATCCCCGCCCGCCCCTCCTGGGATGCCCAGCTCTAGTGCCAGCAGGCACCTCATGGCAAGGGTGGGCCTCCCTGTTCTTAGCCTCACCAGAGAGGTCACAGGTGAAGGGTGTGGGTGCCAAGGTCACAGGGGAATCATCACACCAGCTGGGGCCCCAGGGGTGTCCAGAAGTTCCTCCCGTGAGCCTCTACGCACCTCAACCCCTAGGGCAGCCCGGCAGCCTCGGAAGGACTGGCCCAGCAGACAGTACCAGGGCAGTGCCAAGACCAGCCCCTAGCTGGGGCAGGATCCTGATGTCCAGAGAGGCCACCTCAGCTGTCACAGAGGCCAACGTTGTCCCAGAGACTATAGGGTCCTCCCTGCACCTGTGTCTGCCCCTGGGAACGCCGCCAGGCCTGGAGACCGAGGCAGAAGGGAGAGCTTATGCTAGCGCTCTGTGGTGACCGGACAGTGTGCCAGGCAGAAAGAGTTCTTCACAGCCACCCACGTCTCTCTGCCCCCGGGGTTCCATAGGGGTGGGCGATGCAGCCACACCCACCTGTGTGGTCAACTGCAATTGCCAGTCCCCGCCCCACGTCCACGGATGCCTCGCACCCTGAGGCCTCCGCATGGCCCCTGCTCTGCTGCAAGGGTCCTCCTGCTCCATCTGCCTGCTGAGCCCCGACCTACATACAGTGCACTGAGCATTGCCAAGCCCTGCGCTGGGCACTGGTGGGCCCTCAGCCCCAGCCCTCAAAAGGCAGACAGGGAGGGGCCCATGCCCCCAGAGAAGGTATTCCCTGAGTCGGGCCGGGCCCTGAGAGCAGCGGCTGTGCCCTTCCGGGAAAGGTCCTCGCCGAGCTCCATCACAGTGGGCCCATGCACCCCCAAACCAAACCGACTCCTCCAGCACAGACCCTATAGCCCACCCTCCCAGGACCCTCCACTCTGGGATCCCTTCTCCCAAATAGACAATGACCGCGGGGGCACCTGGAAGAAAAACCCCACCCACCAGCAAAGCTCATAGCCAAGGGAAGGCAGCCTCAGAGCTGATTCATCTCAGGCCAGGAGCCTACACGGGTCGGTCGGCCCAGAGCTGGCTCCAGGGAAGCCACGCCCACTGTGGGCGGGGGGGCGACTGCAGACACATGGCAGAATGTGGAGGACCCTGTGGGATGGCCAGGCCTAGGGCATTCTTCAGTCAGTCAACTAAACAGGTGGCTCCTCAGGGAGGCCAGGCCTGGCTGGGGGTGGGCTGGGTCACCTGTGCATTTGGCAGGTCCGTGTCACCAGGGCCATGCTCCTAGGGCAGCCTGGCAGGGTAGGCCCCCCACAAGTAGACGCTCCCTCCACCCCAACAGCTGTTGGCTCTGCTGTCCTCCCAGGGGTCCTGGAGGCCTCTCCATTGGCTCACAGCTTCATGAGGGCTCTCGGAGCAAAGCTGACCCAAACTGTCCCCAACAGCTGCTCCCGGGGAGCACTGACACCCAGTGCCATCAAGGGTGCCTCTGATATGAGAACCCCCAGCCCGCAGGCCCCTCCTTTCAGGACAACCTTGTGAGCAGAGACCCCAGAAGGAAGCCCAGGTCTGACAGAGGAGGCCAGCAGCCCCCATCCACCGAGCAAGACACTCACCAGGCATGCAGGTGGGAGGAAGCTGTTGACCCGAGAGACACTCCACATGCCCTCCAGGCACTGCTGCGCCTGGATGGTGACGGTGCTCAGCGCCCCTCCAAGGCCCGCAGGTGCCACGGACACCTGGACACTGGGCCCAGGGGGCCAGGCCAGCCCCTTGGTCCTGTCTGGCCCGGCTCGGCCTGGCTGCTTCCCTGCAGGGCCCGCTTGTCCTGGAGTGTCCCTTGAGCTGGTCATGGCACTGGGGGATGAGAGGCCAGGGCCTCCATGGGGGCCGTCGAGGTCCTCGTGGCTGGCAGGGGCCTGCAGTAGGTGCACGGCCTCCCGTGTGAGCTGCTGCAGGTGTGTGGCACAGACATCGCAGCGGGGCTCGGCCTCTGGGCGGCAGGCTGGCAGGGCCCCCGGTGCTGGGAGCTTGTCAAGAAGCAGGGCAGAGAGACAAGGATCCTGAGGACAGCAAGGGACAAAGGCAGGGTCAGTGCGGGGGAAGGGAGGGCCAGCACCCAGAGTCCACCAACACTCTCACCCCCCGTGAGCCGCAAGCTCCCGCCTGGCCACCGCATCTGTAATGGATTAATAAGCCCAAACAGTTTCATCCACACGAGCCCAGCAGGAAAATAATTATCGGGCTTCACTGTGAGTCTCGCAGTGCCCTTGTTAACTGTCCACCTTCCCCAGCCATCATTAACCACCCGGTCAACCTGAGGCTAACAAGGCGGGTTTGCAGCTTCCGGACAACTGTCAGGTAAAGCCACCTGGCCGGGGGCACACAAGAGGCTGGCAGGAAACAGAGACCCTTAAAATGAGCAGTGTCAGCCAGGCGAGGTGGCTCATGCCTATAATCCCACTACTTTGGGAGGCCGAGGTGAGCAGATCACGAGATCAGGAGATTTTTTTACATTTCGCCTGGCCAACATGGTGAAACACCGTCTCTCCTGAAGATACAAAAAAACTAGCTGGGTGTGGTGGTGCACGCCTGTAGTCCCAGCTACTCGGGAGGCTGAGGCAGGAGAATTGCTTGAACCCAGGAGGCAGAGAGCAGCGAGCCAAGATCACGGCACTGCACTCCAGCGTGGGCGACAGTGTAAGACTCCGTCTCAAAAAAATTAAATAAATAAATAAAAGCAACCTCTTGGGCCAGCCGCAGTGGCTCATGCCTGTAATCCCAGCACTCTGGGAGGCCAAGGTGGGTGGATCACAAGGTCAGGAGATCAAGACCATCCTGATCCACATGGTTAAACCCCGTCTCTACTAAAAATACAAAAATTAGCCCCCAACTTCCCACTACCCACAGCCTGGCCCTCCCCACCCCGCCTGGCCCCAGGCAGTCCCTAGCTCTCGGCTTGGCCACACTGGCCCCAAGGGATTCCACGCAAGACCTATCTCCAGTGCAGCCACCCTGTTGGCCCCAAAAGGCACCACAGCCTCCTCAAAGGTGCCCATTTCTCAGACGAGGAAGCTGAAGCCCGTCATCCCAGGGGGTGTCTCATCCACCCACCCACATTCCTTGAGCCAGCCCTGGGCTGGCCGGGCTGCCCTGAAGGCTCACAGTGGTGGCAGCTGTGGACCAGGGTGGCTGGTGCCAGCACAGCGTTCAAGGCAATCATGCTTCCCGGGACCACTCCACACTCCCCACAGTCCCAGGCAGACCAGGTCGCATGAAATGGCGACCCCCAACAGGCCCAGCTGCCTGATTTATGGGCCACTCCAGAGGCCTGGATTTCCTCCAGCCCAGGGTCTGAAGAGCCTGGTGCGTCTGGTCCCGATTAGCGGACGCCCCTCCCTCCTGCTGCTGCTGGGATTCGCTGAGGTCAGCCACAAGGAGCACTGAAGAGGAGGAGGGGAACAGCGGGGAGGAGGGGAAGGAGAGGCAGGAGGGGGGAGGGGGAGGAGAAGGAGGAGGGGGAGGGGGAAGGGAGGGGGAGGAGAAGGAGTGGGGAGCGGGAGTAGGGGCAGGAGGGGTAGGGCCCTACCGGAGCAGACGCTGCAGGAGCCCCCCTCAGCTCTGCTGAGGCACACAGGGCCACACGTGGAACTCAGAACCAGCCTCTGGCCTCAGTCCTCAGCCACAGGCTGAGGGCACACAGGGCCAGTTTTCCAGTCCGGCTCTGATGACGCAGATTTTCCACTCAGCAGGAGGCCGCTGTGGGGGCCCAGGCCCGTGTGAAGGGGAAGGAAGTGCCCGCCTGCTGGAGCCATTAACCCAACCTGACAGGCAGGCCTGCCTCCAGCCCAGCCCCCAGCTCCCGCCAGGACAAGCATCTCCATGTTCTGGGGCCTCTGGACAAGCCAGGCGGCCTGGGCCCGTGCCTCGACCTCAGGCCTTGGGGAGCCCACCTTGCCCTTCCCTCCAGGGCTGCTAGGCAGGAAGGATAGCAGAGGGGAGGGGAGGGGAGGGACCTCCCACCACAGCAGTGGGCTGGCCAGGCGGGAGCAGCAGGGAAAAGGGGACAAGAAGCCAGAGGACCCCTCGCCCAGGCCCCCACCCAGCTGCACCATCAGGAATTCAGACAGCAGCTGCCAGGGAGAGCCCACCCAGCCCTATTGAGGCCTCTGAGCCCCGGGCCTCCAAGTCCCAGGTGTTTGGGGGTCTGTACTGGAGAGGTGCTTATCAAGCTGAAGCCCCCACTGGGGAGAAGCCGAGGCTGCCAGTCACCTGCTCAGAAACAGCGGCAGCCCAGGCATCTAGGCCAGGGCACCCTCTCCCAGCAGCCCAGGTGCCAGACAGAACCCAGAGGCCAGGCCCCAGGGCCAAAGCCCACGAGTGGGACACACACCCCTCCCCAGGACAGGCCACCAGGCCCACTTCTCAGGGACTCTTACCACCCAACCGTGACCCAGCAGGCTCTGTGGGGGCCACTGAGATGCCCATCCAAGACCCCAGGAATTCAAGGCCATGAACAGGCATAGGGGGCCATCTCTTCAACCTGGTCATTGACTCAAGACCTGCCTAGGAGACATTAAATGGGACCAGGCGCCATCACCCCCACCACCGAGCCATCAGTCCAGCTAGGCTGACGCAGGCTGGCACAACACAGGGGCTGGGCCACAGGCTGCTCACTGGGGCCACTCAGAGCCACACAAGCCACCCAGGGGACCAGAGACCTCCCATTTGCAGAACCAGCCTGGGGCTCAGCACACTCTCCAGCTAAGACAGGAGGGGAACCCAGCGCCCTGGCCAGCACTTAGGGCTCCAGGGAGGGGCTGAGGGAGGGTGCTGCTGACACAGGTGGCTCCCAGGGATGTGATCTGGGGCCCCAGAAGGCAAGGGCGAGGGTCTCCCACACCACTGACTGCTCCCTGCAGGGCAGCCCCAGACGCAGCCCTCAGAGAGACAAAGGTTGCCCAGCCTGTCCGTCCCCTCCCCCACACACACAGCCCCAGCCCCCTCCTCCTCCCCCAGCGCAGAGCCCGGGCCCCCTCCTCCTCCCCCACGCACACAGCCCCAGCCCCCTCCTCCTCCCCCAGCGCAGAGCCCTGGCCACCAACAGCAAATCCTGCTCTGTGGCCACTTCCTGAAACTTCCAACCTCCACACAGCCAGGCAGGGGCCAAAGCCCCTCTCCCAGCCATCCTGGCAGCTCACAGGTCCTCTGGCCCAAGCCCCCAACAGGTTACTGCCCCAGTTTCAGGAATCTGTACTCCAGAAAGGCCCGGCCAGCAGGTCTGCCTGTCACCCAGGCCCCCACAGCCTGCGAGGAAGACAGTAATTACCCCACTGCGAAATATGACTTTTAATTTTCTCTTTATGGTCTAATTAAACAGACACTTTACTTGCATTTGGAAAATGTTTTTCTTCATTCGATTCAATTTAGCGTCAAGCACAGCCCACCCACCACAGGCCGGGGTTGTAGGGAGCCTCCCCTGCCCAGCCCACCCACCACAGGCCGGGGTTGTAGGGAGCCTCCCCCACCCAGCCCACCCACCACAGGCCGGGGTTGTAGGGAGCCTCCCCCGCCCCGTACTTAAAAATCTGGACTTTATGGTTTATTTTGTTTCGGGGGTCCTGGAGTTGCTTTAAGTAATCCTTCCATTTTCTCCTGGAGACCTGGGGGACTTTACCGGGGACTCCCCACTCCCCATCACTGCCAGGAAAACATCCCCCAGCTCCCGGGCCAGCCAGCCACTGCCCATGGGAAAGAGCGGGAGCTGATCAAACCTCCCATCAGGTAAGGCCACCCTGGGACAGTGAGGGGGCCCTGCTCCGAGTTCAGAGCAGCCACGCCATCGGACCCCGAGACCTCAGCCACGCAAGGCCCTCCCTGAGTCCCCGTCACCGGTCTCCACAAAGGGAGCTCCAGCACTGGCTGGCAGGGCCGCGGGGAGGGCAACTAGGCTTGGAAGCCCCTCCCAATCGGCGCACAGCGAGGAGTGCGCGTGGGCAGCCCAGCACGAGGACCCCGGGGCCGTGGCCTCCATATCTTGCCCTCCCTTTCCTTCCCCAGCAAAGCGTGCTGGGCTGCAACCCGGAGCAGCTGCTGTTTCCGGAGCTGACAACATGTCCAGGAAGGGACCCGTGGCCTCCCAGCCAGGCAGCAGCCCTCGCTGGTCCTGCTGTCCAGGACATTTCTACGTCAGATGCAGCCTGTCAGGGCAGGGTATCAGAAGCAGGCTCAGTGCTGCTGTCTAGAAACTGGCTGGCCACCCCTGGCTGCCCGGGTGCCCCTCCTGCCCAGCTGGGCACCCTCTAAAGGCCCAGCCTCTCCTTGCTCCACCGGCCAGGACTCCGGGGTCCCTTCCCATTCTATTGGTCTGCAGCTCTGAAAGCCTCCTACCCGCTTCCTCCTCTGCAGGGAGGGGAGGGAGCAGGGACACAGCCCAGTCCACCCAGCACTGGCCGGCACACCATCCCCAAGGCCCTGTGCCAGGCGCCAGCCCAGCTGGGCAGCTCGGGGCACAGACGAGCTCATTGAGACCCTTGTCCCCCTCAATGGCCTCCCCTGTCCTCCACTGCATGCCAGGACTGGAGCCTAGAATGTTAAGGGCCAGACAGGCAGCCAGGCGCAGTGGCTCACACCTGTAATCCCAGCACTCTGGGAGACCACGGCAGGTGGATCACGAGGTCAAGAGATGGAGACCAGCCTGGTCAACATAATGAAACCCCATCTCTACTATAAACAGAAAAAATTAGCCGGGCACGGTGGCATGCGCCTGTAACCCCAGCTACCCTGAGGCTGAGGCAGGGCAATCGCTTGGGTCTGACGGGCGGAGGATGCAGTGAGCCGAGATCACGCCGCAACACTCCAGACTGGGTGACAGAACGAGACTCCCTCGCAGAAAAACAGGCCAGACAGGCAAGGATGGCCCCAGCAGGGTGGCAGAGGGGCAGGCTCGTCAGGACCCCAACCCTCAGAGGGGTGCTCAGGACGCTGCAGGGGCTTGGGGGTCACCAGGACACTCGACCCAATTTGGTGCAGGCTGCAGCCACTGGGCCAGGTGAGGGGCCTT